AAAGTTATGGCAGTTTCAATTTAAAAAAATTGAAAAAATGTCAATAATTAGCGATTTTTAAAATTGTAATTTTTTTGTAGATTACCCCCGTTTATGGAGAACGAAGGAAATTTTTTAATTTTTGAGGGTAATGTCTTTGAATATATACGATTTATGATCTTTTGACATATCGTAGAAAGAAATCGGTTCGATAAGAGCCGAGGAAAAGTGGTAACAGACAAAAAAAAAATCACATCATAGTAAAACCAATACCTTCTCAGCTTCGCATCGGAGCTAAAAATACAAAATAAATTTAATGTGTTTTAAAAATATAAGAGGCATGTATAAAAATAATAAAGTAAACTTTACATGTTGGCACTGTTGGGAGGACTGCAAAAATATATTCTCTGTCTTAGGAATCACCAATTTGATTTCCTGTTTTTGATATTTTACTATGGTAATTTTTTTTTTTTATTTACTCGATTAAAATATTAGAATATATTCCAATCACTTAAGGGATAGAAAGATATTCTATTTAAATTAATAAATAAATGTATAGCAAATTTGTTAAATATTACCTAAATTAAATTAAGATATGTCAACTTAAAGTATTAATTAATAATTTTCAAAATAATAAATACTAAACAAAGGGCTTTTTACCAATTGGTCTCGATATACAAAGGAATATTTCTATCAAACTTCAAGTTTTTATGATGAATGTTTTTATTAAGAAAGTTAATTGAAGATATAAATTTGCCCAACCCTAACGTAACATAATTAACACAAAATTAAAATTACTCATTTAAAATTTTTACTTCATGAGTTACGGAAAGAAAATTAAAAAAAAACAGTACACTGTGGACTGATGTGAAATATTTATTGGAAAACTGTGGGAAGTTTTAAAAGTCTCCGCTCATATTCTTCTCCTCGTACCACTTATGCGTAGAATAGTATGTGTTTTATTCAACGCATGCGTAAGTTTCATCTTTGATGGTTTTTTATTTTTTATTTAAGAGATATTCCTTGTCAGTCGATCATCATCGTATCATAAAATACAGCAAATAAGAGAAGTTAACACAATGTTGCGTTTACTTTTGACAATTTCAATTCACACCATATTTACTTCGACATAGTTCTGAAACAATGAATGTACGCGAATTCAATACTTTTTCCTTCGTCAAATATGACTTAAGTTTGAAAACAATTGATTTCTATAATTTTTTTATTATTTATACATTTTTTCTAAGTGCTCTTTTAAAGAACTTTTATTTTAGTTTAAAAATCAATATAGAATGTAATTGATTTATTGTCGACTACTAGGTTTCTACAAAAATAATATTTTTTGATGATATTTTTAGCATGATTAAGTAATATTTATTTCTCAATTAATAAGTAATCTAATATTTTTAGTTATATTATTTGTCTCTTATAAAGGTATCAATTATATTTTTTTAAATGGTAACACGTATATTTTACTAGTTTTAACGTAATATGAACATTAGAAATTAATGTTAGAAAATAAAAACTAAGAAAATGATGAGTCGATAACAAATTTTAAACCAGAATTTCGTAAGTTTTAAATACTTTTAGACTGGGTAGGAAGATAAGTGCGACAAAATGATGCGTAATGATAAGTATAACTTTACCCGCATTTAGCTTCCTGTCTATTTGAAAGTGTTAATAAATTATTAATGAAGCAATATTTATATTTTTGATAAAAGTTTTAATTATAATGTACTTGTTAACTTGTTTATTATAAAATTTCATTTAAAAAATAAATGAATGATGTAAAATTAAAAAGACAGTTTTTTCTATGAAATTAAACAAACAGATGTACCACGTTATTAAAAAATGACATGTTTTTTATTGTAAAATGTATTCAAGAACTTTTCATTAATTAATAACTTACACCCACTTTATATGTTCGTGAATAGTTTTTTTAATTTTACAACTCTACGCTCAGTAATTAAATATTATGATTAAGTTTATTTATCTATAGTTTTTTCTCTTAGTTAATAGTTTTAAATGTTTTTTCATTTAAAAAAATCTTGAACTATTTTAAGACTCAATTGAGTCTTAGAATTCCATACATTTAATTGAAGATTTTAAAAAAAGTTTTTATAAAAGTAATAGAAATATTTAAATTATAAATCATTAAAAGTCAAGTTGTACTCGTATGATTTTAAATTGATAACACACAAATGATAATTTTAAGATCTTGTTTTTCATTGAACTATACGTTTTAACTACTACATTCATGTAAGCTGAGAACATTGAACTTATTTTTGAGAGACTATAATGAGCATCATATTATTGCTGAAATATTTATCTATTATCATTATTTCGTCAATTTACGTATATTAATGTGAATATTTAGTGTTTTAAATTATATCTAAGATCATGAAAATTTAGAAACAAAATCAGAATAAATATGCAAAAAAAAATTTTTTTTCATTTATAAATAATATAATTATATAATTCCATGAATAAATTTTGTTGAAATAAGAAAATTTTTCATGTAAATGGATCTTTTGATAATAATGAAGATGCTTTTTTAATCATTTATTGGGATTTTTTTTAATCAAATACAGATAACTGACTTAATCTGCATGTTTATTTTCCTTGATTAATAAACATCTTTTTCGGACTTGACTTATATGAAAAATAAGTATTTATATTACATTTTATTGATTTAAAATAATTTTATTTGAAAATACTATTTGTCTGGAAATCGTGTGTAGTTAATCTAAATTGAGTTTAGTGTTAAACTTATTGATTATGTTGACTTGTCACTTTATAAGACGTGATTATCAGTACTTATCGTGCCACGTGGAAGTTATTTTTCTTTTGCAAATATACTGTTGGAAAAGCTTAAGAGAGATTACACAAGTTATTAAATAAATTACATAAAACAGACGAAGGGCGATCGTAATAATCCTAAGCTAACATAGTGCTCTCAGTTATATTTGAAATCAATGTAATAACAAGTTGATCCAATCTGTCTTAAATTGTGATAACATCTATATAATGTTTCCATTACAAAATGTTGGAAATAAGTAGTGAAACAATGATTTTTAATTTCAATTTTTTCATGTATTCAAAAAAAAATTAATTTCTTAGTTGTTTATGGTATCAATTCTTTGTATATTTATTATTGTTGAATTGTTATTTATGTTACATTTTGATTGTCGACAAATTGTTTGAAAATCTATTTTATGAATTGATTAAAGTGAAACACGTGGGACACTTAAGCTATGGACAAGTAGCTAGTGCGTCAGTTGTTAACTATACTAATTAGGGTTGGTGCGATAATTTTTTTGTGGTTACATCTGGTCTATAAGTAGACTACCTTTTATAACCCAAACCTTTCAATATTTGATTTAATCGGAGATTATCTTTAACACGTAACACGTAAATGTTTGTTAACAAATCGCAGTATTTTGTGTTACTGTTTATAAAACACTCAGAACCTTTGATTTTGATATTTTATTAATATCTATGGACGTGTGTCATGAGTATAAATATTATTTTAGGACCAGCTATTGAAATAGAAATTTTGTTCACTGTATTTAATAGATACTTAAATAAGTATAAAATTGGCTGGTGTTGAACTTTTGAATTGATTGAAGTATATGTCATCGAAACTATGAAACAAACCTTTACAGTTTTATAGATTATAGAAATCGATTAGCATTCATGTGCACAAAGTACTGCTGCTTTAATAATTAATTGCTGTCAATGTTTAGTTTGAATGTCCAGTAAAGGCCAATGGTGATTCAGCAGTAATTGTTTTTCGAGTTTACATACAAAATATCACACTATTATGTGGTATTTGTTATGTTTGCACGAATTCTGCGTAAAAACTATACTCGGTCAAAAAAAAAAAAAAAAAAGGGGAACAACTAGGCCCCAGATGGCGAACGACAGTAATTATAACGTTACAAGCATATAAAACCCTTGACAGTTTTCGTGATGGACACTTCAGTGGCGGGGGAGTAATGACTAGATTTCGCAGCCCCATATATGGCACTAGCAAATTTCGTGATTTGTGTGTATACATTTTTTCAGTGTGATGAATAACACGAAGCTTTTCAAAAGTACACCCGTACGTCTAACTCGTTCTTTATTTTACCATCCTTTGTGAACGTGACCACATGACCAAATGCATCAATCATAGTTTTCACGCACGCTCATCTCATAACTAGCTACTCGCATAGATATAATATATCCTCTTCTCGTCCTATGATACATATTATAATAGCTGTAATGGAATATCACTTGAAAATTCACCATGAAAAATATAGTCAATATAACTGGCAGTTGTTTTGTAAATATTATATAATCGTAATAATATTCTATTGGATACAAACCAGCACCATAAATAAAATAAGTATACTTAACGAAATTTATTTTTAAATAAAAATTATTATTTTTTTGTTTAATTCATGGCAACAATAATTATGAGAGTTTCAATAAAATTTTAAACTATAATTTTTTTAATAGAAAAATAGTGACGAATAGTTTAAAAATAAAAACGATGTGGTATATTTTCCTATAATTACAAAAACAAATTAAACATTTTCTGAAAGAAAAATGAATTTGGAGACACAATATTCAGTTAATAATATAAAAAAGAAAACCTTTATTTCTAAAAAAAAAAAAATTGTAAAAATACAACTACATAAATGACGTTATAGAATAAATAATTGAAATGCTCTTTATAAAGCACATACGAGTAATAATAAAATTTAAACTTAAGTATCTACAATATTTGATGCGCGTANAACCAAAGCACATACGAGTAATAATAAAATTTAAACTTAAGTATCTACAATATTTGATGCGCGTATAATTGTTTAAACATGTATCCATGTGAACGAAATTAATATGATAAATGTACTATGTACATATGTCATATTAAAATTATTGTTATGTTGTCATACATTTGTGATATTAAAAAATTAATATTGAAACGCTCCTTGAGAATTGCTATTATTTCCATAAGACATTCTGGAGGTAGGTACATAATAAATAAGAAGGATTTTTTTTGTTTTATATTTAGAAATGATTTTATTATTTGAAATAGAAAGAAAATTTAATAAACAATGTCACATATCTCTAAGGTGATGATACAACATAAAATGGAAAAATTTTAAGTAGAAAATAATTTGTGAAAAAAAAAAATGAATGAATTTATGATTAATATATTTGCTGAAAGAATGGAGTCAAGATTAAACAAACGATAGACGGGGTTTTTTTTTGAAATACTTCTAATTACCATAAAAACCTTTGTAAAAACTTCATTCTAATGTACAGTATTATAATAAATTATTAATGCTTTGCTTTTTCAATTCGTTTGTTTTATGTAATATAATTATCTGTATATTGTTGACATATAAGTGGAACCCTTCGTCTCGGACTGATAGTTTCCCGGGCTTATATGGTAATAACAGTAAAGTAATATAAATATATATGTAGTAAAACACGCGGTCACAGTATTATAAAATAATAAAACAAATGTGTTTACTAATAGCAAACAATAAAAATTAAAAAAAAACGAAGCTGGGCTGAGTAGGAAAAAATGACCCAGCTTCTGTTTTATGTGGGCGAATGTGGTGTAGCGCTCACAATAACGTATTGTTTACCATCGTTGCCTGACAGATACATTATTCAACGTTTCCAAGCACTGCCACCACCATCCGTAAACTTCCTTTTACAACTCTTTTATGTCACTTTATGTACACATAGACTGCTTTGCTCTTCCGCACTCGACTTAATACCCATCCTAGTCAATTCTTAACCGAACCTAGTTAAAATACTCCTCTCTTATCCGATTGGCTGCGGCTTCTCGCAATGCTATTCCGCCGGTATCAATATATTCCTTTTGTTTTTGTCTGTCCGTTTTCCTTGCACCCGGATCATATATATTCTCACAGTTTTGCTTTCAATTCATCTATATTCCCAACGTAGACTATATTATTATTTTTTATGGAATCCATCGATTTTATTTCGGTTTTTGGAAGGCATAAAGTTACAGTTATTTTAGTTTTATTTTATTCTCAACCAAAAAATGGTTGCTCACGATTTATATTTTACAAGTATGTAAATTAGATTAAAAGTTGTAATTAAGAATTTTGATTGACTCCATTAAATACCACACATTTAATAAATTAACTACTACTAAATCAGTATAAATTAAATAAAAAAACAAATCTCTTGTAGTGAACTACTTAAAGTAAATTTATAACCAGTACGGAAGCTCATTAAATCATCTTACAAAAACGTAAAGCAACAAATTTAATAGGGAGGGGCTGAAAAAATATAAATACACTGAAGGAAAGTACCCGGGCCATTAGACCGAAACTTATTCAAGTAGATTTTTTAAATAAGAAATAACGAAGAAAAAGAAAGAAAAGTAATAAAAAAAAAATTAAGTAACGAACAAAGTAATAAGATACTAAATGTTTGGTCAGGTAGTCACTATAGTATAGATGAGTCTATGTACAACCGCATCTTTTGACTCTGTATTCTAGGAACAGTCTGGATTTAATGATAATTGTGTTTGTTTGGTAATAGTTTTTGCAGTAAGGGAGAAAAAACAAGAGGAAAAATTACATATATACATAAGAAGTTTAAGTGTAAAAGTAAGATTATAAAGTCCTCCTGTACAGACATGGTGACACAGCCATTACAACTTTGACAACTTTTGAGTTAAGCAATTCCCACCACGACATAAACCAAGGTTATTTTTGCACTTTCCGGATTATAGAATATTTTATTAGATTTTTTTTTTTTAATTACTAGTATATTAAAACATTTTACTTTTTTAAAACAACATCAAATTTATTTTTTGACACGAAAAAAACTAAATTATAATATACGACAAATAAAAAGATGTATCATGAAATATTAAATATTCCCCAAATGACGAAGAATTAATAATATTTATAAAATAAATTTTAATTTTATTAAATAATCAAATGTCATAGTATTTTTATAGGAATTTTGCAATGGTCAACATGAATAGAATTTTAATTATTACGTTGACTTTCAACAGTGGAGTTTTTTGGGGTAAAAAAAATGATTAAAGCATGAATAATCATCACATAGTAAAGTAGTGAAAGTGAAACACTAAGTTTAAATAGATTAATGGGCGTTATATACACCAAATGTTCTCTTTGTTTGTATCTCGCTCTGTTTTTGATACCCCAAATTAGTTTTGTCGAGCTCGTTTGAACGAAAAGATACGTATGAAGGGTAAAGAATACAATGGTTTAAGACCGTGGGAGTTAGCCTTATTGTTTCGGATGATTTAACACTGAAGGTAAATAATAGTTACTCTTATTATGTGTTTAATAAAGTTTCATTGTTTTTCATCTGTGAATTTTAAAGTGTAATTCGCATTGCCGCCACTATTAACGGCCGCACGAATTTCCAACCAATTTTGTGTACCTCCTACGCTAATAGTATCTGTTTTCGACAGGGTACTGATGAAAGATGTCTGAATACTGATTACTCGGCTGTTTTTTATTCAAGTGTTTGAAAATATACATAATAAAATTACTTGTTAATTTATATACCGCTTTATGAAAATATATCACTTAAATCTATATCTGCAGTAAGAATAAAAAAGAATTGTATTAGATTGCAGTCATCATTTAATCCGTTAAAACATCACAGGCGGCACAAGATAAAATCAGCCATCATCGTTCATAAAAATTCAAAATCATAAATATTATTTCAAATATTTTAAACGTATGGCGTTTAATTGAAATACTGTTAAAATCAAGCTATAGAAATTATTGAATTTTTTTTTAATTTTTCACGAAACGTCGTCATTTATGGTTCTCCAAGTATTGACATATGAATCAATAGTATTTGCCAAATAAAAATGAGATTTATTTTAAGTTTGCAATAAATAATTTTAAACAATCTATAAAGTGGTGCATTAAATGTGCTTCGGAAGTAAAGTTTAATGGTTATTTATGTTTTAATAATCAATTGAATAAATTAAAGTACGATCGTTACTTACTGATTGGTAAATATTAACTTCAATGTTGTATTATATTAACATCCCAAACAAAATTGATATACAGTGTACGGCAAAATGTAAAACTAAGGCCAAGAGATTCTTTTTTAAATATTTGTTGTGGTGTAAAATCGTAATGAAGAAACGGAGAGAATTTTTCCATTTGGTTGTCGGGTCTGACAGACCCGTAAAGACCCTTTGAAAAGGGTCATCAGACCGTCAAGTTTTTCTTTTCTTCTGTGCAACAACAATTATTATTTGTTTGTACATTTTGATTTCAGCCCTCATTTTTGTTGGGATTTTTGCAGACTGTCAAAGTATAGTGATTTCAAAACAAACAAAAAATAAAACTGGGATTAACACAATTACACTTTATCCTTATTTGGCTAATATTCAAAGCTTGAAGATATATTCAGCCTGAAAAATATAAAAATACAAAAATATTCTACATTTTTTATGTACAATATTATGCTTTGAAACTTAATTATATAGCTCTTATTTAGATAAATATATAAATAAAAAACAACGTGTTATGTGAAATAAAACAAAAAATTATAAAAGACATATATATTTATTTGTTCAGTGAGTCTTATAAATATTCCAGGAAAAAATTATGCTAATTGTTGAGTTTATTAATCAGTGTAGCTATATATATAAATTTATGTTCGAGTCAATTGATTCGATCCGAATTTAAAACGATCGGATAGAGCCATAATATATATTTATGTTATAACTGATCCGAGTCAGACTTTAATTTAAAGTGGATCGAGCTAGTTGATCAAACATTGGTTTTAAATCATGTACATTGGTGCGAATAATAATAATAAAATTATTTAAATTTCTTTAAAAACAAAATTTAATGAATGAAAATTATAAAGTAAAACGTTTTAATAATAATTATAGTATTTTTTTAATGGAACGTACTGAATTTTATTTTTTTTGAACCGTGCTAGATCGAGACTAAAATTTTACACTTATATTTGGGTCGGGTCAAACCTGGCCCGAATAAAACAAATTTCGGGTCGAATTTTTAGGCTCGAGCTAATCGAGAGATCTAATTGACAGGATGTGTAAATTATTTTTATTAAGAGTAATTTCAAAATAAATACTTTTTATTTATATTGACTATTTTTTATTCTGACGACGGGTTTCTCTTTCATTGTTTCGGGAGTAGAGGAGTGAAGTTTCTTTTGCAAAGCGTTTAACTTCACGAGGCATGCACAAGAGTCTAGCAGTTTCACAACGATCACTGACGAAGGGTCCGTTGTGTTTTGAGTATGCAAATATATTCCGTATACGCAATTGTCAAAGGGTATTTCGTGGTAAAAGAAATTTGTTTCTCAGATCTAACTGAGGAATAGTAGACAGAAAATAAAATAGAAGACAACTATAAAGGTGGATTATTCCCAGCGGAAACACAAGTGTGAAGCTTAAAAAACATCGATTTTATGTCAAAACGACTTATTACGGAAACGGGTTTCATTTCTTGAGCGATATTGAAATAACAGGTAAAAACTTAAATGTTTTTCGATGCATAGATAACGCAACAAAAGTTTAGGAACGCCAAAATTATTTATAGACTTGTAAAAAATATTGTGAGCCATTGAATTATTAATTCAGATATTATAAATCTATTATAGTGAATTTTAGTTAATCCTATAGAATTAATGGTTTTTAAAATAAATTAAACCAAAATTATGAACTTAGCCATTCTTCATTCAACAGGCATTCTTTAATTATGTTAAAGAGTACGTTTTCTATTTTTCTGTTATATTAATTAAGTAATAAATTTCCATGATATTTTATTAGTACAGTAGAACTCCAATTATCCGAACTCCGATCATCCGAATCGCCGATTATCCGAATCACTTTCAGAAAAAATCAGAAAAAAATTTGTCCAAAGTCCGCGGCGTCAGTGTAGGCACAATACGTGGTAAGAGTTCCCACTCCAGTTCCGGCGCATTGCAGTCACCTGTCATTGTTTATTTTGATTAGCCAGTGAATGGGTCCCGGTCCCCATTAATTCGGATAATTGGAGTTCTACTGTATATAAATAAATGCTAAAAACGTTTAAAATATTTAATTTTTTGCTATTCAACATTTTAATAAAAAATAAGTTTGAAATTTAATTTAAGCTTAATAATGATAAAGTGTTCTTATACTATTCTATCCAAAATTATCTTATTGATATTAATCAAAAATAGTTTAAGCGTTGTAAACGCACAGGAAGAAAGATATATTTCTCACGTCCATCTGTTCTCATTGCTGTAAGTGAGGGGCGGCCAAACTCGTAAATATCCTCATAGTAGTAGTCTTAGGGAATTGGCGCTTTTTTCAAATTTATTTCTAGAAGCTACACGACTTTTCCTGAAAACATTACCGGGGCGTATGTGCACCGGGTGTTAGAAAAAAAGCAGACGGCCAGGATAAAGCAGTGACACACGCACTTTATTTGTTTTCTTATAGAAAAAGGTCCATGTTTGTGGGAATTTGGACATCCAAAACAACAGGACCTACTAAATAATTCTAGCTAACACATAAAAAAAAAACAGAAGATTTCAAAGAAAAAAGTGGGTAAAAATCAACATTTCTTTTTAGTCAGATAACTTATTTATTCAAATTCACCTTCAATAGTTTTGCTCTATTGCACTGTCAAAAATATTTTTTACAATTTTTGCTTTTTTTTTTTTACTTCTTTAACGTTATTTTTGTTTTGCCAAACACTTTTTATTCCATTCCTAATACATCGTCAATCACTTAGATTACCCGCCCAGTAAGCGTCACCCTTAAAAATACTCTAAATATTTACTGTACAAACAAATCGTAGCTACAAAATACTTTTGAAAGAATTTCATTGTATTTTATCATTTCCCTACAACGTATATTAAAATTCTGAACATCAGGCAAGAGTCACACAAGGTAAAACAGTGATTGTTTCTGCTCGAAAAATCCACTCTCTATAAAAATAAATATTTTGTCGAAAAAATAATAATATTCAAATCGTTTCATAATAAAAATGTACATTCATTTATAAAAAAATAAATACGTTATTCCATCGTCAAATCTTCTTTATCTTTAAATTGTGTTAACAGCATATATTTAATACAGATATTTTAAAAGTCATGTCAAATAAAAAAAAAAATTATTTTTACAACTATTTAGAAGTTAAATAATAATCAATATGTATCAAAATTATATATATTCTAAAATTTTTATCGAATAACTTGATAACAACCAACCTGACCTTAAAGGTATAGTCTAATATAATCGAGAGCTTTCTAGACATAAAATAAAGTACGGGCAAGAAAAAAGGGCTGTGTGTAAAGTGCGGTGAAGATATTGAAATAGAATACGACTATATTTTATTCAATTACAACAGTTATGATAGATGGGTACCTTCCACTCGTACAACTAGCAGGTCAAGGGATCCTTTCCTCCTAGTTTTTACAATTTATAATATAAACCGTTTTGGATTGGTCACCTTAAAAACGATCGTCATTGCAGAAGAGAGGTGGGATCAGAACAGAAAAGGGGTCAAGCCAACACTTGGCTCGTAATTTATTTTAAAAGATACAACACGTACTAGTCAAGCCTATTTTTTCTTTTTCTCTTTACGGTCACAACATATGGAACCGAAAAAATTATAAACTTTTTACTGTAGTGTAATATTTACAAACTTATTTATTGCTTTCAATTGAAGGCACAAGTGAAAACGTGAAAAGTTTCAATTAATAATAATAAGAAATACTAAAATAACTATTATAAAAAAAAATATATATATATTATAAAATATTAATATTACTTCAAAGTATGTAAATTATGTGTAAACTGTAAATGAAATTTTTATATATTTTTATAAAAGTTAAGTTTGTTTGACAAATTAGTCATTAAGGAATATCACAATTATCTTCAACAATCGCAAGGTATACGGTTACAAAAGCGTAGAATAGGTTTTTATATTTTAAGCATCTTATCTTGTGACTACACTGTAGGTCTATATGATGTACATCTAAGACTGACCTGACACTCTATTTGTAATACACCATACGATTAATTATTACTCTAAATAGAAAGTACATTAAGGTATAAATAGAAATTTAAACTCAGCTATTGGTAATGCCGTAAAAATACAATTATGAGTACAAATAGTATGTGTATTAATTACGACAAAAATAGAATAAAAATCATAAATCAAAATATTTTGTATATAAAATGTTCTACCGTGATTTACTAATTTTAGTATTAGTTTATACAGTTGTCAAGTTAGTAAATCACGGTGTGATACCCTGCAATTTTTTAATGGAAAATTCCTAACGAGTTATCCAAGAACTAACTTAAATTATCTTTATTTTTTCAGTTATTTAATTAAGACAGTTTCCCATTTCCCGAGTATAGCAAACCTATAGAGTTTACTTTTATAAAATGTTATTTTTCTTAGGAAATTGAACTTGCGTTTCCATACAAATACTTTGTTTACTCGATAAATCTTCACAAATAAGTCATAAAAATTTTACCAAAATTACCGTGAAAAATAAATTTTAATTAAAAATATAAAACCAATAATAGGTATTATGATTTGTACATACATTTTAAAAGTGGTGTTTTAACTCTAAATCTCCTCTTAAAAAAAATTTTTTTTAATAATTTAATTTACTTAGATTTGTTTAAATTGTGCTATCAAACATAAAATGTTTGAAAATAGCAGTCATTACATAGTATGTTAAATCGAATTGTTATTTTATTTATCAAAAAAATTCTGATATGTATAACACGTAATTGAATAGTATTGAAGTTAATAAATGCTCAAATAAAATAATATTTAAAAATTAAACATCTTATATTGTATTTTTATATAAATTTATTTTATAATTACAGTAAAAGTAATTTTTTTTAATAAAATAGTAGTAATTCAATGACAATTTGATAGTATCAAACAAATAACATCTTCTTTTGAAAATCTTTTAAACTAATTGGGTACAATAAAGTGATTGTACCATTTTGATGATAGCTTTGAGTATATTATTAGTAGATCATCATTATTGCGGTACTGAAATAATCAACCGTATTAAAATAAAAGACGATCAAATGGAAAATTACTTGTTAGTAATAAAGCTATAGGAATTCGCGAATTCATATGATTAATGCGATCGCGGAGTTGTCACTACAAGCTGGAACGCAGTGTCGACGATCGGAGGGAAGTTCAGTGTGGACCGGCTGCTTTTGACGACATTTCTGTACTCGGATAACTAGAGTCGGGATGAAGGTGAATTGCTACGTCCTTTTGCGACCATCCAGTCCTTTTTCGTTTACCGTACTACCAAAAAAACTCAGCGTATATCAAATTTTCGACCACTTCACGCACGAGTACGCGAATAATAAAAGAGGAGAGATTAAATTGTTTTAGACCACGTTATATACATTAAACATAAAAGTACAAAACGTATATATACGTTTTGTTCCACTCAAAGTAGATATTATTCTATTATGAAAAATATGTATAAGAAAAGACGTTTTCATTCCAAGGGAATGTCTGCACATTAGATTGTCTTATGATAAATTCATCGAATAATTAAAATTGTGGTCTTGATTGGGTATTAAGTCAATTAGATAAATAACTGTGAATTATTATATATAAACGTTATCAGAAATAGTTCTTTGAAATATTCATAATTAACTCAATAGGTTAACATTCGTTTTTTAAAATATATTTATACGATTAATTGTATCATTAAAAAAAACTGTTATCTGTCAATGCGCATTCAACTCTCAAACACGCGTTCAAGTAATTTATGGTATTAGCTAAACAATAACGTCTTAACACTTTTAAAAGACTCTTGTTTTTTATGAATAATTAACATTCATATATTAATGATTTCAGTTCTGACGGATGACCCCAATTTTGCAGAACCTATACCAAATGTTACGGTGTCTTTAGGCAGAGACGCATCGCTGCCATGTGTAGTCAACAATCTTGGCACGTATAAGGTAAGATATCACGTTCAAATTATTATTATTATTGTATACGAAAAAACACTTCATATATCATCGAAAATTATAAGTTTTCAAAATTAAAGATTTTGAACTACACGAACGATAGATGGTATTTATTGTGGTCAATAAAAGTAAATCATCCAATAAAGTAGACAAATAGTTGTGTTCCTTTAGTTAATTACAATTAAGAGCACTAAAATTAGTGATAAGCAACGTGAGCTTATTTCTATACTGAAACAATGTGTATTTGAAATACCAGTTTATATGGTTTTCCCAACATGAAACTTATGGTTAGTATTGTGACAACTTATCAGTTTGGTTAAATCTACTATACTGGTCCGGTTGATACATTGTGGTTACCTTAATCATCTATAAATAGAAAGAATAACCGTTTCATAATGTAGCCGTTTCCCTCCTAAATAGTTCTAATTACCATGTATGTTCAGTTAATTTAACCGATTATTAAAGGATAAATATACTTTCTTAATTAAAAATATAATAGTATAAATTTAGTATAGTATTCAATTAAATATTAAATGTCAAAACCAATACAAATAAATATAATATCTGAAAAGGACCGGTACATTAAGAAAAAGACATATTTAAAATTTACAATTACAATATTGAAAATAATTATGTCATGTACCAAAAACTATTTTGATTATGGTAGTAATAATGTGGCCTTGTTTTTGGTAGATTAAAAATATTATATTAACTATATTAAACCGAAGAGTTTCTGTCAATAATTTTGAAATTTTTATTTGAGCTGAATAATTTTTTATTTTCAGTACTGAGAGTGTTGCATTCAATAACACTTAAGTTAAAGGACACAGAAACTAAAAATTTAACAGAAAAATTAAAACACACCCTTTAATGATAGTCTTAATAGACACGGCTCAACAAAATTTGGCTCGTGGAATCTTTATGGATTTTTTTTTAATGTTTGGTAGGTCAATGACTTACCTAACAATTTTCAAAATTAAATTATAAAATAACCTTTCTTAGCGCTTTTACATAACTATGAAAGAATATCGTCATTATTCGGTAACACCGATTTGTCTATGTGAGCTTCCGCGGAAAATAACCATCAATGAATTCTTAGCAGTACAGAAAACAAAAACCAATCCGACCCAACCTCGAACAGTTTTTTCGCGAGGTACAATCACTTACCTTAAAGTTTATTTCTTCGTCAAAGCCAAAAAGCATAATTCTAACACAGTTTAAATTCGATAAATACTATTTATTCCGTTTAAATATAATAACTATGGTATAACGCTATTTTTTTCGTAATAATGGTTTTATAATTTAATTACAGATTCATTATTATCTACTATATTGTGACTATATGAACTATATTGTGCAGTTATCGTGTGCAGCGTACAATTAATTTATTTTTTATTCGCTGATTTTTATTTTTTAATAATTAAATATATTATCAATGAATTGCATTAATAAGAAAAAATGTTGATGTTTAAGACTGTAATAATAGTAAGTCGTTAATCTATAAACTTATACTTAAAGATTACTTTTGTTTGTAATAGAAGTTTAAAGAACTTTTAGCTTATAGCTATTATAGAAAATTGGTCAACTATATTTTAATTACTATTTTATATAGTGATGTGGATGTAAAGACGCTTGTATTATGATTTAGTCCAGTGCACCTATTCATACAACTAGGTATTTGAATATTACTTATTCGTACTTTTTTCTCCAGTCACATCAATTACTAAGTTTCATTAAAAAATGTTTTTTGATACGTGTTGATTCAGAATCTAATTAATACAATACATATTTATTTATTAATGCAAATTTTTAATTCACATTAACGATGACTTAAAACATTGTATATAAAGTCAATAAATGAGTGAATCACTTAAGTTTTTGCAACAAATGAAATTACTGTTAACCTTAGTGCTGTTTATGTAAAACAATTATATTTCTATTTTTCAATAAAATGAATTTTATAAAATAAATTAAATTTAAGTTACAATACACTTCTGAGTACATAATATTGACTATCAATAAGAAATGTAAAATTCTAAAGTATATACAGTTCGTTTGTAACCGACAACCGATTTGTATTGGAATCATGTACAACTGTTTCCGGACATCCGTTCACCACGAAGTTCGTGTTTTCCCATATCAACCCTGTTTGCGTGGTCACGTACTGGACTCGGGTTTGAATACATATGTTTTCGTTAGCTGGACAAATTGAACCGTCTTCTTGTAAGAAAGTGTACAGATATACAAATCGCATTTATTTATTTTTTATTTTCAGACTAAAATATGGTCATAGTGTACTCGTCCATTTTATGATTACCGTATTATTGTACCAACACGAGTACAGCAAACGTAGTTATGAAATTAATGTATTTTTATAACTTCCTAATAGATATTTTAGAGTCGACCGTTCAGATACTACACTGGTGGATAATGTTTTTACTCGCTCGAGTGTTATTCTTTCGATTAAAAAGGAGTCTTATAATTTGAAGCTAAATGAATAATTTACTGGTATCAATTTTCTGTTAACAACAGTTATAAAAATATTTCTACTTTTTAGCGATAATGATCTAATTAAAAAACGTTTTCATTTGATTTGTGTTATGTTAGAAAATACTAATAAATAAGTAGACGCGGTTGTGTTTAATTTCTAACCACTCGGTAACCATAGAAAAAGTTTTTATTTTTTCATCAATTTAAAGTCTATAAAGTAAGTTCAATTCTTCGAAACTCTTAAAATGCTCAACACTTCCCATAATTCAATTAAACTCGTAGTAAATGTGGTATGGAAAACGCACTGAGACGACCACGGTAATTATTTGTCAAGGAGATTCATTAATATTTTATCGGCGCTAAAAGGCTCTTCCGTCTCAACTTCCGTTTTCACTCACTATCTCTGACTCTCTGTCCCCCACACACGCGGGGCTAAACTTTACAAGTCCGAACCCCTGGAGGCGTTAGTTTAATTAAATATAGTCAGACCAACAAGCTAGTCAGGAAGCGAAACGACTGAATAAATAAACAAGCAATTTCGGGGCGAATACTTCGCCCGGGCCGACGTCGGTTTAGTGCCCCCGCGGGACGATCTTTCGTACACTGCCACCGCCTCTGGTAGTTTCCCACCAAAAATACAACCGACATAAACAAGTATGAAAAATGTATCAGTAACCGGCACACTATACACCAGAGTCGTAGATAGATGTGTTAGAGTCAACTATACCATACCGCCATATTAGTGTAACTTGGCCGCTCCTTCAAAATAGTCCTACTAATACTATTCTTGCTTACTAAATAGTACATAATAGCGCAGTCGTTTGAAATTTTTAATACCGCCAATTTCATATCGNATTAGTGTAACTTGGCCGCTCCTTCAAAATTATCCTACTAATACTATTCTTGCTTACTAAATAGTACATAATAGCGCAGTCGTTTGAAATTTTTAATACCGCCAATTTCATATCGATAACAAAGTTTGAGATAGTGAAATTTAAGAAATGCTTTGTATTAACCGAACAACAACTAAGCGTCTTCAACGGCAGACATTTTTTTAGTGAACAAATCGTATAAAATAGTTCTAGAAATACTGAGAATAATAGTCTAAAAATTAAAATTTGCATTTAAAATTCAGACGCATAGAAAAAAGCTTCAATGCACTTTCGTCACAAAGATATATTTTTTGCGAGGGAATAAATTTAGATTGTAATTTGAAACTAAATAACTGTGAAATAAATTTAACAATACCTAAAGATTTATAAAACTTAAATTGACTGCAAAAAAGTTACTTATAAAATAACATTATTTACAAACTCTGAAGAACATGCTACATTTAACTAAAACACCAATCAATTTTAGTTGCTTATGCTTATAAGTTAACTCTAATCACTAAAATTTTTTCACTCGATTTTCAAAAGTTTTGGAAATAAAACAATTTATAAAACTTTAAATGTACTAATTAAAAATCATATTTAACCTTTTAGAAGAAATCATTAAAAGTTTTTAAAACATATAATAATGATTTCGCTTTGTAATTCATGTTAAATAATAAATTAAATTATTTTATTTAAAGCTCAGATTTTTAATGAATCAATATTAAAAAAAAGATACTATAAAATAAATTCAATAGTAAAGATTGCATTCCTAACATTTTTACTCCATAGCAAATACTGAACTTGTATAAGCTCTTAATTAATTATGGCTTATTAGCTCATTTATTTCTCGGTAAACTTGTATTTAAATAAACCCAGTACTTAAATAAAAAATTATATAGCCACCTAAATATTATTCTAAAAAAAAAAAAACTTTAAAATTGGACTCATGGGAGCCGTACACAATGATATATTACTAGAAGTGTACCTTTGAGATTGCACGACCATATGCAATTTTTGTGATTATTTTAACATTTTATAGATGTAACTTAGTAAAAAAAAATAGTTTATACGTAAATTCATATTTAATTTAAGCATTTATTAAAACAAGCTTTTTCTTAAATTAAACATTTTAAGTTTTTAAACAAACCTTTAAACTTGAAAAGAATTTAGTAGTTTATTTAAGTTAAGCAAAAAAAAATTTTTTTACAAATATCAACAATTTTTATCTAGTCAGGACCATAATTTATTTAAATAAATATTGTTTTATATAAATATATTATAACTTATAAATTATAATTATATATAAAAATCCATTAATGCTTGTTTCATTTATAATGTGATATTCAGTTTTACCATATGAGGTTTTTAAAATTTGATATCAATAGTACTTTTTTTTTTACTGAACATTGGTTTTAATTTATTAAAATAATATACTCAAATTGAGTTTTATTGATCTAAACATTATAGTTAAAAAAAATATTAATATTCATTGGACTTTTATGATGGCTTTTAATTCTAATAGAAAATGTTTGAAGATGATTTATGAAATGTGAGTATTTTTGAAAATTTAATGAACTCGGTAGGTACTAAACTTAAATTTTCATATTTTTTAAGAATATTAGCTTG